TTTTTTTTTTTTTTTTTTTTGGTACTGGGGATCGAACTCTGGCCCTTGTGCTTGAGAGGCAGGCACCAGAACCGCTGAGCTAAATCCCCAGCTCACGCCATTTTTAAATTGGGCTTGCTTTCTGAGTTGTAAGAGCTCTGCATTAAGTTGAACCCCCCATATGAGCCCTTGGATCTTACGATTATACAGATGACAGATAAGAGGCAGGTGAAGCGGTGTTTGGGAGGGTGGTGCTGATGGTTCCAGCTCTTGTCTGCACACACTGGACATTCACTTGCTCTTTTTCTGCTGTGGCGGCCGAGGGAACCGTGCCTGGGCTGCAGAGTGGAGCATCTGTAGGATCACGGTCTCTGCTTGGTGGCGGCTGTGTGCCTCCCGTGGTCTAGGCCAGTGACGGCATACCTTCCGGAGCATTGAGGGACCCGGACTGCCTGCTGCAGCACACGTGCCACAGGTTCACCACTCGCTGACCTAGGCTGTTCTGGGCGGGACCAGCTCGAGCTGATGGGCTCTGAGGGTAGAGGTTCCCGAGAGGAAGCACACGTTGCGGATGTGTTCTGGTGTCGATGTGAGGGGCCAGATCAGCACATCTGACACAGCTGTGCCCCTGGCACTTCAGCTTCTAAAAGCCACTATGTTCCCTTTTACTTCAGCCTGGCTGGGTAGGGTTTTCTGTCACCCTCACCCCACATATTACGACCAACAGTGCTCCATGTGGCCACAACTGCTTTTTCAAGAGGTTTTTATTGAAACGGTTATATTAGCAAATTCTGCACATACAGGGATACACTACTGACATATAGGTATATACCATACAATTTCACTAATTATACTTACATCAACCGTGTGGACCTAGGGATTGTGCTGCCCAGAACAGTTCAAGGGTTGAGAAGTTCTGAGTGTCAAGACATCAGCTCACGTTGTACTGGCAGGTGTTTGTGTTTCAAACAAGTCCTCCTACAGTGAGCCTCAAATAAAGCTGATGATTATATTTGCTTCTTGAATATTTGATGTATGTTCTTTCTGGCAACAAGCTATCCAATGGCGAATTAAAATTCAAGTGCATAGTTTCCCTTTCATCCTTCAAGGAGGGAGGTAAATCATGTGCCACATTTTGGTATATCTCAAACTTCCCCCACCCCAAAGTACCTGTGCTATAGTTAGAAAAATAGTTTTGTACGCTATCCTCTGAAATGTTGTGCATAGTTAGCAGGAACCCAGAATGAGGGGCTCTTTGACCCAAATATGAAAGGGATAACTAAATTTTCTACAGGTATAAAAGCTAGTGAGGGTAGCCACGGACCGAACCGTCCCTTCTCTCATACAGCAGTAGGGCATTTCCGTTAGAGGACGGTGTTCTCCACACGCCATCATTACCTCCTAGCTTAAAGCCTTTCCTGCCTTTCTAAGCACACCGATCTGGTTTTCTCAGACAGAGAAATCGCCACTCTAGAGTCCATCCTGTTTCCCATTTTTGGCTCAAAATAACAGATTTTGGCCTGAGAACCAGCCAAGGGAGCCCCTGTCCAGCTCGGTCAGCAAGCCAGGCCTGGGCTGCCAGTGTGGTGAAAGGAGATGGCCTCTCCTGTGTGCCTCTCCAGGGGGGCATGGACCATCTCAGCACGAGGGTGCAGGGACCCGGGACCAGGCCACACTGGTGACCAGGCCCACGGAACACGGGCATCAGTCAGTGGCCTTCCTCCTACAGGGGGAGTTTGCTCACTTGAAGGAAAAGAACAGCTTGGGATGTCATACTCTCCATGTCGTCCCTCTGTTTTAAACGGATATCTTGGCTCACTCTCTCTGTCAGGAGGAAGTCCTTTTCTACCACACAGTGTAACACTTGGTCTTAACTGTGGAGAAAGGGTAATCTCAAAAGAAAGAGAAAGAACCCATGTTATGTTGGATTACATTTGTGAAAAGTAGCTCAGAGCAATCTTCTGTACCTCTCAACAGTTGCCAGTAGCTATAAAGAGAGGTGGGTAGAAAAGGCAAAGACCTACCAAGAGGAGGGGCAGATGAATCAGGCCAGCTTGCTGGGTGACCAATGTCCTTTCCTGCACACGTGGCTGCCTGACAAGTGCAGCCATGAGTACAGGTGAGACACAAGCTGGGTCAGCCCAGCGTTAAGAGGTGTGGGGACCCGGGAAGCTGTGCCCCCAGGGGTGGGGGGTCCACTGCAGCAGAGAGGTGCTGATGATGGCCTCCACCCATGGCTTTCCTCAGCAGGACGTGTGTGGTTTACAAAGGTGTCTCTGCTGAGCCAGCCTCCACCCTGGGCTCTGGGCCAGAGTGACACCTTCTCAGTGCCTGCTGATGTGAGAAAATCATTCCTGTAGGCTGTCACTGGGGTCCATGCCACCTCAAGCCTAGCGTTTTATGGGGTATGTGGAGGAGCCAACAGGAAGAGCCCACAGCTGAGTGACTTCGCGGCACTGAACCCTTCTTAACACTCAAGGTGCATGAATTTCAAAGGCTTTTCTATCCTGTCAGCATCTCTTCCTTCTTCCCCGAGTCACAGAAAGGGAACACAGCCTAGAGCGAACTGGAGGGAAAGCCCATGGGACAGACTGGGTGGCCTCACGCCTCTTGGTATGCCAGAGCCACATCTCGGAGGCACAGATGTAGGTGTTTAGCAGTGAAGACTGATGGCTCCCTCCCGCTGTGCACTGCAGGCTGGTGGGTCACGCTCTGGAAAATGCAGGCGACTGCTTTCATCCTGTGCCTGCTGGAGGCCCACCTGGTTTCTCCTCAAAGTTTGGTCTCCTGGGTTCATCCAGGAGGCCTGCACCCTCTGCCCTTCAGGGATTCTACGGCGAGCCTGTCCTCCTCACCCCCTCACCACCAGGTGGGTGTGACCTGCAGACCTGGCGTTCCAGACAAGCAGCGAGCCAGCCAGTCAGGGCCATGTGTATCTGGGAGAGACCTCCCCACACCACCGCTGGGACTCACCGGCATGCTTTTCTTTTCTTGTGAAACAGGAATCCACACAGCACACAGAGCCATCTTAACCCTGCCCACTTCTCCCTGTCTTCTCGAATATTACCATACTCAGAATCCAGTTTTCCCAGTCCCTTGGCAAGGGTCTTAGCCATTCGAAGACTTTATGTGCTTATCTTCTTCCTGATGGGCTAAGATAGCCTCTGGAACGATCTACCCATAAATCCAAAACAAAAGCCCAATCCACACCCTCATCTGGACAGCTGCCCTTGCCAAGGTCTGGGGAGCAGAGGCAGAAGCCACCCCTGCGGCACCTACCTTGCCCTCTCATCCCCTCGCAGCGGGGCGGAGGTAGAGCCACACTACACTCCAGTGTGGGCGACGGTGGGCCCTGGAGAGAGCCGTCAGTCTGTTCGCACGCACAGTGAGCTGTACCCAAGCTGGGTGCCTGCAGCAGCTCCCGCTGTCCCTCTTACCTGTCAGCAGCTCCGTCCCGAACCTGGTTCTCACGTCATGGGCAGTTCTACCTCACTCTGGCTGCCACCAACATCTGAACTGAGCGAACACGTTCAGCAAGGCTTTGGCATGTCCTCTGAGTGTGTGCCTCAGCACGGGGCAGCGGAGGGCAAGGTGGGGACCCGAGAAGGCCTGACTGCAGAGGCCCCTCTGGTAGGGCTGCTGGATGCACACCTAACACACGGCCTCCCAGGAGTTCTCTGCCCGAGACCAGTGCTGCATCTCCATGCCTCCCTCCAGCCGCAGACGTTGTGTCCCCACAGGGCTCTCCCTGGGCCCACTAGTTCCCATTCGGTCACCAAGACTCGGGACCTAGGCCTCTGCGTCTGTTCCCTGGCTCCTTCCTTTCGTTTGTACTTTCTGTCAGCAGACCTGGGGTCAGCTGTGAAAGGCCTCTTCTGGCACGGACCCTGCGCAGGCCCCAGCAGTGCCCACCTGCCCTTTCTGCCCACAAGCACAGCCTTGCCTGTCCCAGAAGTGCAACCCCAGTCCCCTGGCCAATTTGTGAGCCCCAGCCTTGGCCGGCTCTGTTTGGCCCTTCTTCTGGGCCTCACCTGGGGTTGCAGTGCTGTCCCCCGAGCCTGTGCCTTGGAAACCCCTCCCCCTCCCCTCCAGACTCAGCCTTACTTCATTGGATCCAACTTCCCAGTTGGCTGTCGATCTGCCGTTCCTTTAGACCAGCCAAAACGTGCACACGTGTGTGCATGCACTGGGGGTGGAACCCAGGCCTCTTCCGCACTCAGCAGGCACTCCTACCCCTGAGCCACATCTGCAGGCCAGGACCGCCACTGTCACCAGCCTCACATGCACTACACAGAAGCACTGGTCTTGTAGTGAGAAAACTTAACGAGGTCTACGGGGAAATCTAGCTGTACTATTCTACTATTTTCCTTCTAAAAGCTACGTCCTGAAATTCAGCAGGTCTGTCCCATGACAATTGTGAGCAGCAACCTATTGTCGAAGTGACTCTCGACATACACATCAGCTCCTTGCTCTTCGGTAGCAGAATCACTGCCCAAGCCCCAACAGTAAAGGGTAACAGCGAGAGAATGCATTGCTTTTTCTTCAATTAAAACCAGTGTCATTGAAGGATGTAGACCAATGAACGCACTGGATGTGAGAAGCAATAAAAACATGAGAAAGGTTTATGAAACTCTCAGGATGTGTCAAATTAGTGAAATTCAGCAACCTTGTTTTGTTTAATAGTTCTCTGACAGAATCTTCTGGTTAGCCAGGAAGTGCGGTCTCGGCCATGGGGCCAGACTGGATCCAGGACATTACTTCAGGGATTTTCCTCCAGGCCAGGCCGAGGACTATGAGAGGAGCTGGACGATAAGGTCAAACAGAGCAGCTGGAGCTGGGGCCTGGCTGGCAGCGGGGCAGAGGCAGGGCCGGCTGGACACGCTCACCACCGCCACACACTGTGACCGCCCCTCGCTCCAGGATGACAGGGATGGAGGGCTACGAGTGTCCTCCTGTGAGATGGCTGAGGTCCTGTCACTCTGACCCTGATCCCAGAAGTCATGCAGCATACAGCTCAGTTCTAAACCCCACTGAACCCGAGAGCAGGGCGGAGGTGGTAGGCAGAAGAGGCTGGAGGCAGGCCCAGGTCCAAGCAGCCCATCAGAGGACAGGGTCTGCAGTGGGAAGAGCTTACCCTGTAGCCTTTCCCGTCCTCACAGAGTCCCTCCTGGAAATGGTGAGGGTTACTGTACAACTGTACTTCCCAGTAACACTGCCGGTGCCAAGCCTCAGAGGAACTGAAATACTCCCCTTCACAAAGAGCGGCTCCCTGCAGCCCAGCTGTGCCTGCCATGGTCAGGTGGCCAACTGCTCGCACAGGGTGCCCGCTGGCTGGGGCACCCTCCCAGGCTGACGCGGCAGGCAGCGCTGCAGTCTTGGCCCCCAGATGGGTCGCTGGGGCTCAGCAGGAATTTCCTGCAGCACAGCTGCTGGCAGGGAGGCTGCTGTCTGGGATAAGAACTCCCTCTCTATTCCAAGGCTTGTGTCCTTCTCCACAGAGACAGGACATTCTGTCCTGAGTGGGAAGGTGGCCCAGATCTTCAGGAAAAGGGGCCAAGCTGGGATCTGAAGCGCTCGCCTGTAAATCCTCTCAGGAGCAGTACTGCCTTGGCACTTGCTCTACGGTGACACTGCCCCAGATTTGCCAGACTCAGTATTGTATCAGTAGATTTTAAGGATTCAATTTAAAAATATTTCTTCTTAAGCAATTTCATTCTTTTTCAGTAAAGAATGGTCTCGGTGACATTTAATGTGCATGCCGTCATACGAACACACAAATCAGAAGGGATATGAGTTTTGTTTCAGGGAAAACAAGGTCAGGTACAGACAGCTCCGCAATAATCTGAACCCGGTTATCACATCTGCCTGGTGAGCCAGCGCAAACACAAGCACAAGCGTGTGGCGACAGCCTGGCAGAGTGAGTTCCGATCTCCTTAAAATTCATTTTCTTACTGAGAACCCAGTGGGGCAAACCATCAGCTTTCTGAACCATGGTGACACTGAAACTGCTTATCAAAAATATTTTTTACATTACAAAGACTATAAAAAGGAAAATGAATAAACAAAAGCCCTTGGTAGAGAGTAGAAAGCAAAAGCAGTTAAAACCTCAAAGATGTGCCTGTTTCAGCCTTCAGTTATTAGGACAAAATGCTGCTGGTCACAAGGCTGTCCTGTCCCTAAAGGCTGTCACCACCCCGGCTTTCTGATTTGTTTTTGTTTGGGACACATCTGCGTTGGAGGCATCTTAGCAACACATTACAAGAAAAGATGCCATAAGTAGAGACATGGCACATGTTCATTTCGGACTTAATCCTACAGAGCCAGTGAAAATAACAGGGCAGGGGATCTGTGTGCCACATCTAGTGCGCCTGGAGACTGAAGGGCCATGTTCACAGCAAGGCGCTGAAGGCCTTCAGACCCCACACAGCTCCCACTGCTCAGAAGGTTGGACCACAGCAAAGGGTGTGGAGACGAACTTGGCAAGTTTGCTCCTCTTGGGCCCGTTATTCACAGAATACAAGTTTCTCATCATGTAAACTCCATGCTATCCTAAACGTGTGGGCAGAGCACCTGTCCTCAGGGTCCTCTCGGTTTTCTGTAAGCCTGGAGGCCAGGCTCCAACATCTTCTCACACTGGTGCTGAGGCCGGGGCAGGGATGACGTTGGGCCAATGAAGACAGAAGAGGGGTCCTGGTACGAGACCTGGCAGCAGGAACCTGGTCAGATCTTCTCAGTCGTTGCAGACCGTTCCAGTGTTGGTATCTGCTGGCAGTGACCTGTGCCCACTGTGCCCAGAGGGACAGGGGGCTGGGCTCCCCAGTGCCACTCCCCATACACACCCAGCGGACCAGCCTGCAGGCCGTGGGGACGGCCCTCGGGGGTTTAGTGGCCACAAAACACTTGTCACCTCACGTCAGGCTGGACACAGACACTGCCAAATCCCAGGGTGGACACTGCCCATTAAGCACACAGCCTGGTCCTGACCTCTGTCCTCTGGGGCAGAGCTCAGGGGAAAGAGTGGTCGGAGTCTCGAGGAGGTGCAAGAGGCGAGGCTCTCGCTTACCTTCCTGTGCAGAGGCCCTCGCGGGAAGAAGGACGCACGAGACGGAGGACAAAGGAGCACATCAGAGAGCTGCGACTCACACCGTGCGAGGGCAGGGCGCTTCACCGCAGGCTCTGGGATGCGTTGTGAGAGAGGGTCACAAAAAGTATTTTTAAAAGCCCCATGCCACCCTAACAGAATAGCACGTGATTATTGAGGGATGTGCTTGTGGTGCAGCACCAACTCCTGGCCCCCCTTCGTCCCTGGGAACAGCCTGGGTGCTGGGAGCCCTTGCTCACGGCAGCTTGGCAGGTGTTCGGTACCATGAGGCTCCCTAGGCCAACGTACTGTCCTCAGAGCTTCGCCTCAGGGGACTTTGCAATGAAACCCCGAACCCCAGCCCGCGCTTGGAAGCACTGCCATTCCTCCAAAACGGATGCTGACAGAAGAATACGAAATAAGAAAGGTGATCATAAATCAAATCACAAACGAAGTGACCCCCATAGCCCATTGTAAAAAATCAGGTTTTGTTCTCATCATACATGTCCAAAGAAGGTTCGATTGTAGAGAATTCACTTTCATACACCAGGCTCCGAGGTGACAAGGAGTTTCGGTGAAAGAAGTGGCCACCTGCAAAAAAAGGAACATCAGAAACAGACTTAATATAGTCAGCCCCCGGAGGCTTCACAGGACAGAGATGCATTATTTCCTCAAAGGTGTTCTTCTTCTGGTCCTTTATCACAAAAATAAAAAATGAATATAGTCCTCGAAGTCAGCATACTTTATCTTAATTAAATAACTACCACACTGCAGGGTTGGTGCATGAACCCAGAGCCTCAGATACGCTAGGCCAACACACGACCACTGAGCTATGCCCCGAGCACTTAATTTAGTTTTGTGTGTTTGGGGTGGAACCCAGGTCACACCGCCTAGGCGGCCTCACTTTACGTGGGTGCAGCCCTATGTCCTGGTCGCTGGGAGGTTACCACTGCCCCACTTCACGGCAGAAGCTGCCCGCACGCTTGTTTCTCTGGTTCTCCCTGCAGTCTGAGACTGCCTCCTCGGGACAGCCATGAGGAGAGCTCCCCACCCCAGCGACCCTGCCCTCCTCTCTGAGCACCTGTCCCGCTGACCCGAGGGGCGCCAGCCAGCCCGGCAGACGTGGGGATCTGGGAAGGTGATGTTGAGGTTCAGATAACGTGTTGAAAAGTTTTAATTTATATTAAAGTTACAACTTCTTATGAGCAATTCAAAGTATAAATAATTTAAAGAGCAAAACAAAATATGATAGGAAATAGGGAGACAGATTTTGCAGAGATGGGAAGGGCCCTGGGTTTAGGGTACATGGCAGGAGGGAAGGGTAAGAGATGGGGCCTAGCCGCGACATGTCTACGAGCTGTACCCCAACGAACGCATTCACTACGTATCAGAACACATCCTAATACGAAGTGAAAAATAAAACAAACACTGGAAATGGAGCTAGGAGGGCCGAGTAAAGCTATGCCTAAAGTTATACGGTTTAACGACGGACGTCCATGTGCTTGGAAGACAGCCCCTCGGACGAGCTACTCCGAGCTGTTCTCGGTTCACCACCATGACTCAGAGCACCACAGCCTGTTCACCCTTCCCGGTTGTCTCAGTCTGAGGCTTTGTTGAATTCCCACTGCAGAAGACTAGGATTTCGCCATGGCCCTAACCTCCTCCATCCAGCACACTTCCCATTGCCTCAATATACTTATGCTTTGATAATTATAAAAAATGTTTACAGCTTTATCGATGCACGACGGCCACTCTGTAAAAGGAGCACTGTTCTGAGAGTTTATGTGGCACCTGACAAACCATCGCCAGGGCTGAGGTGACGGACACAGCTATCACCCTCCACCTCTCCCGCTGCCCCCAGTCAGCCCTCGTCTTCGCCCGCCCTACTTCTGCCATCAGGTGAAAAGATCAGCTTTCATCTTCCTAGAACTTTTCAATAAATGGGACCCCTAGTATAATCGGGTCTCCCAAGCGGAGCGGCTCTGAGAGTTTGGGCACAGTGTGAAGTGTGCACACATGTCTCTTGGGTAAATACCCAGGAGCGAATGAACTAGGCTGGTCTCTGCTTAACTTTTTATTTTCTTGGTACAGGGGATTGAACCTAGGGATTTGGGTTTGCAAGGCAGACAGCAGCAACACTGCTTTACTTTTTAAGAAACTGTATGTTTATAATTCCAGCAGAGGCTGAGGCAGGATGACTGCAAGTTTGAGCCTAGCCTGGGCAACTTAGAGAGTTAGCAAGACCCTGTCTCAAAAAATTTTGAAAAAAGGAGCTAGGGATGTAGTTCAGGGCAAAGGCTCTGAGTTCCCTGAACCAGGAAGACAGAGACAGAGGGGGGTGTGGGGGAGGAGCAAGGGAAAGGGGAGGCTAGAGCCCATTTTTCTAAAGTGGCTCTATAATTTTGCATTACTCCCAGAAGTATATGAAAATTTCAGGGCCCTTCAGCTCAACAGCATGAGATCTGATCAGTCTTTGGGATTTTTAGCCACGTTATTAAGAGTGGTGGTACCTCAGTGCGGTTTTAATTTGTTTCCCCAAGGATGAATCACGTTGAGCATCTTGTCCTGTACTTTTAGCCAAGTGTATGCTTTGTTTTGGTACTGGGAATCAAACTCAGGACCTTGCACTTGTGAGGCAGGTGGTGACACCACTGAGCTAAAACCCTGGCCCCTTTTTCTTCTTTGAGCTGGCCTCTGACTGGGGTCACAGGGATGCAACACCGGACCAACAAGGGCTGGGACTGTTTATGTTTCTGCAGAGCTGGGGTCACAGAGCCAGGGCCTCAGAAATTCCAGGCAAGCTCTGAGCTATACCCCAGCCCTCTGAGGTTGTTCTTTTGTTTTGTTTTGTTTTGTTTTTGGTTTTTTTGAGACAGGGTCTCATTATGCAGTTGAGATTGACCTGGAACTCACTACGTAGCCCAGGCTGGTCTCAAACTCACAGCAATCCTCCTGCCTCAGCTTCCCCAGTGCTGGGATTACAGGCGTGCGCCACCACGCCTGGCCCTCTGAGGTTGTTTTTGCAGACAGTTATGCAGTTATTCCATCATCATCTGTGTAAGAGTATTCTTTACCCATCAAATTGCCTTGGACTGCAGCTGAAAATCTCCTCTGTATTGCTCCAATTTTAGTAGAAGTGCTGCCCAAGAGAGCACCGCAGCTGAGACTGTCCTGGTGATGTACTTCTGGGGGTTGACTGTACCACAACCAATCCGCCTTTATACTCCGGGCATGCAGCCTTGGCTACTAGCGTTTTAGCAGGCTTGAAATTAGGTATTTTAAGTTCTGCAACTTTGTTATTTTTCAAATGTTCTGATGAGCAGAAAGGAGAGGAAGGCTGTTCTGAAGAGTACAGACAAGTTTTAAATGAAACCATTTCACATACCAGCATATAAGCAATAAAACCAATCCTATTTTCTTGTTTAACTTTTGTGTATTAAAAATCTACTGCAGGTAAAAAATCAGTGTAAATTCAAAGCTGCTTGCTATTTGTATATCCTCTGAGGGTAAGGTCACAAATAAAATTTGAGAAGTATGACCTGACAGCTAATGAATCTATATAATCTAACTATACTAAATAGTGAAAGATTTTAAAGTGCTAAAGATAAGGAGATTTTCTGCTCTGCAGCAGTGAGCTGACACCAAGTCTGGGCAATTCCTCTGCACCCCAAATAAACCCATGAGAATGGAGCTGAGGATACGGATGCTGCTCCGTGGCAGACTGTTAGGGTCCATGATGCGCTGGCTTCAAATCCTAGCTTTAAAGAATAAAACATAAATAAAAAGATCAGAACCTAACTCAATAATCCACAGCTGTCAACCAGTTTCCTTGTGAAAACAGAACACTAGGAGAGGAACGTATAAGCAGCTGGATGGATTTCAGAGAAAGCATGATGCTGCATTTGCCAAGCAAACACAACTTTTTTTTTTTTGTTGTTGGTACCAGGGATCAAACTCAGGCCCTTGCGCTTACGAGGCAGGTGGTGGCACCACTGAGCTACATTCCTGGCCCCCACACCCTGTCTCTTCATCAACTGATTTTGTTGCTATGGTTGTTACTGGCCAGTTAGGTAAACTCGTAGTTGAGGTATGACCTGTGACAGCTGGGTGCACCAATCATATTTATCTCAAGAAATACAGACAGCACATCCATGAAACCATCACTGGATGGAGAGACATTATCACCACACCCACAGGCCCCTCCAGTGACTCCCAACCTGTGCCGTTGCTCAACCCCAGAGGAAGCTAGAGTCAGAGATTTTTCACACAAAGATTAGCTTTGTCTGTTTTGAATTTTACATACTCAGAAACACAATACAATGATCTTTTATATCCAGATTCCTATAGACAATATTATGTTGTCATTCATTCAATGTCACTGATAAATGGTATTTTTTCCATTTTCACTGCTATGTGATATTCCACAATAGAAACACTACACAATCTGTTTGCCTAATTTTTTTGGGGGGTATTGGGGATCAAACTTAGGCCCTTGAGCTTGCGCGGCAGGCACCAGAACCACTGAGCTAAATCCCTAGCCCTGCTTAATCTTTTATTGATGCACATTTGTACAGTTTCTGTTGTGATTACTGCTGTGGGAATATTCTTAGGTATATCTTTTGTTCACCTATGCATGGTATTTCCTTTCATCATGCCTAGTGTAGGAGTGGCTGTGTCCCGGGGCCTGGGTATGGTTGGCTTCAAAAGAGGTGACAGCTTCCCAAGGTGGCTGTTGCGATTTTTACTCCCCTCAGTAAGATGTCCAAAGGCACCTCTGTGCCAATACTCAACATTTCCTGTTTTCTTCAATTGAGCACTCTGGTTGGGTGTATAATGGTGTCACATTGTGATTTTAATTTGTATTTCCTTGATAACCACACAAAAGGATGCTTCTCACAGGTTTTTGTATATTTGGTCACTATGAAATGTCTCTCTCTCTCTCTCTCTCTCTCTCTCTCTCTCTATTCTGAAATGTCAGTTTGTTTGTTTTTCTTTCTTTCTATTTGAGATCAAACTCAGGACCTTGTAAGGCAGGTGTGGTGCCACTGAGCTAAAATTCTCACCTGTCAGTTTCCTTTGCTCATTTTTCATTAGGTTGTTAGTCTTTTCCCCGCCTTTATTCCGAACAAGCTCTTTGTGATTTATAATTATTACAGGACTCTTCTCCTAAAATAGTGTAATCTGATTATCAAAATGACTTAATTTTAGTGTAGTACAATTTATCTCTTTGTGGGCTGGGCGTGGTGGCGCATGCCTGTAATCCCAGCATTCGGGAGGCTGAGGCAGGAGGATCGCTGTGAGTTCGAGAACAGCCTGGGATACATAGTGAGTTCCAGGTCAGTCTCAACTACGTAGTGAGACCCTGCCTCAAAAAAGCAAAACAAAGAAAACCCAATTTATCTCTTTGTTGTGCTTTTTTGAGTTGTTTAAGACATCTATACCTAAGTTTTTTTTCTTTGTTTTTTTTTGGGGGGTTTTGAGACAGGGTCTCACTATGTAGTTGAGACTGACCTGGAATTATGTGGTCCAGGCTGGTCTCGAACTCAGCGATCCTCCTGCCTCAGTCTCCCCAGTGCTGGGATTACAGGCAT